TCCCAGCGATTTGAAGTATCGGTGGTTCAGTTGGTGCAGAGCCCTGTAGAACTCCAAAAATGCATTCTCACTCATGCTCGTGGCCACCGTGAGGAGAGGATTCCTGTTCGGCTTCTCACCCGGCTTGAGACTCTGCACGTACCGACCATTCGCCAGTTCAATTAGATCCGCGCTAGTCCACTCCCGTCTTAACAGCTCATTGACGAGGTCTTCCACATGGTGAAAGTGACACGGTTTGGTGACGAGACATGAGGTGGCCGCGGCAACCGTCTTTTCGACGCTTGTCAGCAGACGTACTGTGGCCTTCAAATCGAATCCCACGTACTTGGCGATGCGGTAGATAGACCAGAGGTCGCCCATCAGGGCCTTGTTGATAAGGTGGAAGGTCCTGTCACTGCCACCAAAGATGTGAATGAGGTAGGGCAAGAGATGCTTGGGTTGTTTGAATGTAACGAGGTACTGGTGTAGGTGGAGCTGCGAGCCAAGGATTGTGGCCAACTGATTGACTACCGCCTCATCGGGAGGGTCTTTAAACACACTCTTGATAAGACTGTAGACGGTGCCTTGAGAATTCAGATTGTCGGTCAACTTGCAGGTCATTTCCTCGAACTCATCGGTGATGAGGTTGGGATGGGTGTGCACACTGGGTAGAGGTTGGAGGAGGCGTCGGTTCTTGAAGTGGTCGGTGCTTGTCTTGCTTTGGCGCATTTCTATCACTTGCTGTTTTGCATAGGCCATCAGCTCCTTACGCATTCGCATCGTGAGCAATTTCCTCCTCATCCGGTACAGCGCAAACTTTCGAGTCATGTGTCTTCTCACTTTATGGAGGGTAACAGCGCGAAAAATGAAGCAAATTATCACTCAATAACAATTGCATGAAAGAAGATGACTGGTCCATTCGTCTCCTAATTGATAGTTCTTCTTCACATGTTTCAATATATCCATGCGCCTCTTTATCTCCCTGAGTATTAGTTTCTTTAGTATTGAATGGAAGAAGACATTATGAATGATTGCTCGCATATAAATGGTGGTTAAAATTCTATGGCAAAAATTTTATCCTATGTATAAAGGGAAGAGCAAGGAAAGTTATTTACCAACTCTACAAGTGGGTGCACATATTCTGGTTAACCTAATTGTGGATAGAGAGAGCGACATATCGTAAGTCCCCCTTATAAGCCGCTTGGTGCTGTGAGCACACTCACCAAGCTTCTGATTTTCTGCTTTCAAGGTCCCATTGGGACTATCTCAAGCATGAGACTCTTGACTCAACTGCCAAGGGCAATTTTAAAACGACGGAATATTTGCATTTTTAAAACCAAACTCTCATAATGTGTAATGCTTCAAAGTTATTAATTGGAGTCGCTGTCAAATCATCTCGCTAACAAACTGTTTTAGTTAGGGTTTTGTCCAGGTCGCTAGAAAATTGCACCTCATTTTGTAAAACAAACACAGATTTGCACCATCATGTTCGAAACATCCCTAAAAAAAGTAACACATCGCGAAAATGATTTTGACTGCGTCGTAGAATAAACTTTGGGTGCAGTGATTAGTACAACCATGGCATACCCCACACCTACTTCTTGGCACTCAGAGGTCGCAAAATAGAACTCACATCGTAGGAGATGGCTCTCATTGTCCGACTTTTTGGGCGTCTGCTCTAGCAGGTGGAGGACCTTCTTTGACTCGTTGTAGACGGCAAAGAGTTTAAAGCGCGATGCCTCCCCTCGTGCCGTCTCCCACCGCTCTTTCCGCACGCGTTTACTTTCCTTCTGTGCGTTTCTGATGCGGTCCATGCAGATTCGAAAGGGGTCAAGTGTGCTCACGTCCTAGACAATTTCATGTACTGGTGGGATATGATTTTAGAAAAGCGTTATGCTATTGCACTTCGTTGCTTTTTCATTATTCGTGGACACTTTGAAGCAATAAAATGCAAAGGTAAAACGGAATTGAAATGTATCACAAGCGCATTCAATCTCTGGCCATGTGCATTTGACCGAAAGGTGTTTGAAAACTGTGCAACGTGTCTAAGAAAAGAGAATAAAATTTACCATTTTCACAACCATGGGATCCTTCTGCGCTTCGATGAAGGCTCTGTACTTGTGATGATTCACGTCTTTTCGAATCACAGAGTTGGGAATATACCCTACGAAAGGAATAAAATAAAATGTGATTATTTTGCTACATCCAAGCAAACCGCCTTCTCATCCAAGTGTTGAAGTCAATCGCACAAATTACTCAAGCGGCCTGCTAAAACCGCGTTTTGCCCAATGAGTGAACTTCCAAAGGGTTAATTGCGTATTTAAGAGCGACAAAAGTCAAAAAATTGAGATTTTAGCATCAGACATCCATCAGTTCATCCTGTGGGTCCCCACTATCACAAATCTGTCTTTCATTAAAAACTGCCTTCCCCTAGGTACTCTCAGGGGAAGCTTTACCACAAGCTTATTTTTGTTCCTCTGCGGGAATTTGCTTTTAAATTTGATTGTATGGCGTATAAAAAGGCCGAATTTTCTTTTATGTAAGGCGTCACCTGCTTCGACTCTCGGCTCTTTTACAGCTACCAGTCAGGCAATACTAAGCTGAAAGCTTTAACTACTCTTCAGCTCATTGTGGAATGACGGCTGGTCAGACGCTGCTTAAAGTTGGCACTGTCATGGAGGAAGTGAGGTGAACTGTGTATTAATACAGTTTCGGTTGAGAGTTTGAATTTAAACCTTCAGCAACAACCAAGCTGTCTATAGATTTAGGTTCCTTCAACAAGGGGGAAGTTTTCAAACGTCCCTGTTCCAATTGAGAGGCCTTAAGTCACGGTAACGGTTACAAAAGGATTGACAGTGGTATTATATTCTTAAGATAGGACATAATTAGGTGCTTTACCAAATGTCAACCAATACGCTCACTTTATCAGTAAGCGTTTCAAAAGTTTAGCTGAGGCATAAATTTTAAATCTATTTCCTTACTTATCTATGATAAAACGCGGACAGCCAAGTCAGTTCTCATTTTTCTACTTTCATTTTGATCGAGACTGGGACACCAGCAAATACCATAAGCTGATAGATAAAAAGCAGATACTTTATGGAGAGCTGCAATCTTTTTTGCACAATGATCAACTTAGATACAAATGCCTTGCTTGTGAAATACGAGTGCA